CTTATTTCGCCAAAGAAATTGAAGATTGCTATTATTAATACATACATTTTAATTCGCATTTGTTGCACATTATTGAAATTATTATTTGTATTTACCTTAGAATTTTGGTTTGGCCAATCTTTAAAAGTATGTCCTGGTGACAATATTTTAGTGAATTCTTCGGTAAAAATTTTTATTTTAAAATTAGCTTATAAATAGACTGCTATAAAAGCATATCTTAATATTCTTGTACTCGAATTTAAATAAACTGAGAAAATCTGAGAAGTTGGAAATTGATTAATTTCTATTTAGGACATAGGTATTTTATATTCTTTTCTCATTATATTTTGGGTATTTTTTGACCTGTGAGTCAAAAGGAACAGTTAAGGTTTATTTTTATAAAAAAATCTCACACAGAAAAAAGTAGACACATACAAAATATAGTAAAAAAAACACATCACTTTGTATTGCGCACTTTAAAAAGTTGTTGACGTTTCTTTCGAAAATCTATCAGTTTTCACCTTCTGAACGTTTTTGTCTTTCCATTTTAATTGTTTTGACAGTTTAAATTTGTTTGCTTTTGCCTGTTTCCATAGCTAGAGATATATGATGTTTATTCTATTATAACTTCTTTAAGAATCTGTAGCCAAAGTTCATTAAATAATTTTACAAAATAATAGCGGTCTGTTTTAATTTTCTTTTAACGGTATTTTTTTTCAAAATGTTTGCTAAACTCCTATTTGTCTTCCTTTCAATATTCCTAAAGATTATTTCAACAAAATTCCGAGGGTATTGATTATTTATTTTGGCTCTATCAAACAAACATTTAACTACACCGTTCTTTATATCAGGATGATTTGAATTAACATATCTGTTAGTGTGAGGTGGTTTTCTATGAACACTTGTTTTAAAATAATTGCCATTTTTTAATTAAAATATCTAAAAAGGATAATGAATGTTTGCTTTCTATTTCCAAAAAAAAAATTAGTTGTTGGTTCCTTATTATTATTATCTAGAAATATATTTAATTCCTCAAAGGTAAAAGGACAAATTGCAACAGAGGGCTTTTTATTTAAATTGTTAACATGGTTTTCTTAAAAAAAAACATAAAAATATTTTCTTTATTTAATTAAAAATACTTATGTATTTTTATATAAAAACTTAATAATTCCATTATACATCCTGTATAATAATATTGAGTTCACTAATAAAACGTACTAGTTACACTTTACTAGTGGTGTAAATTGAAATAACACAATTTTCCATGCAATTTTCTGTTTACTTGACGTTACCACTAAGTTGAAGTTTGAAGTTTGTTTAGGACAGTTTTATTTAATTTTTTGTAGGTATATTGCAATGTAGGTACATCATTGGTTTTATAAACTACACTATCCCTACATGCCTAGTACAATAATGTCACAAAACAACTAACAACGCAACGGTGCGTATGTATACTATATGCCCCACCCAGACTAAGTAAAATAGATTTACATATATCATTCTAAATATGCGTTGAATAACCTAAACAATTGTAATACTTACATAACTAAAGGGAAAATCGATTTAACCTGCTAAAAATGAGCGGATAAATATCTGATTGATTGTTTCTATATTATCTTTTACTTGGAAAAAGTTTTGAATTTCTCTTATCGTAAATTAATTTGTATTATAATATTACATATTTGATAGAAAAAGTTAATCGTTTGTTCTAACTATTTCATGTAAAGAAGCAGTCTTTAACGACGGATGTAAAATGAATACAAGTTTTGACATTCTCGCCCTAAAAAAAAAACAACTACCGATATGTTCAGTTTAATTGGTGATACGGTTTTCGAAATATTGCTAAAATTTGACCTTATTTTTACCTCATGCGTTTCCCACTGAACTGTGCTCCTCCTGTATAATTGCTTACCAAAAAACTTAATGCCCTAATTTCCAGAACCTGGAATAAAGGAATTATTTACCTTTATTATATGTAGGTAAAAGCACGATTGAAAATACTCATACCGGAAGAGATAAGCGAATATTATGTATATTTAGTTGCATATATACTCGTATTATTACCCTACATTTTGATATAATAATTTTTTTAGCTTCTTTCTCAAATCACACCTAAAAGTGTGAAAAATAAAAGTAAGAATGTGTTATTTTAAACGTTAAATGGGCGCCTAAGATATTTATAAACTTGTTATATGTCGAGTCGCAAACAAATAATATTGTGATTCCCTGAAAGCTTTGTTGTAATAAGAAATTATTGTTGATTTATTGAAATTTAATTGCTTGACGATTTAGGACATCATGTAAGTATATTTTAACTAGCTACCTACCTATAAATACTATAAAAGAACATGTTTGAAAGTTGGTTGGATTTAAGATTATTAAAACACGTATGCTCTTAACAATTATTGGAAATAATTTAAATGATACAGATGTTTGATTACATATTAAACGTCAATAAAAATATTTTAGATCTATTAGGTACATCTTTAACTATACCGTTATTATTTTCACAATTATTTGCAATTTAGTATTTTTACAACAGAAAATGAAACTTGTAATATTTTGTGTTTGGTAAAATGGTATACTGTGGCATTATTCCTAACAGTCTATCATTTAAAACTTTTCTGGGATATTTTTTGAACGATTATCGATAAATTGAATGTATTACTATATAAGGTGAAGGTAAGATAATAGAAAATATGAAAAATAGGTATCCAATTATCACAACTATTTTTAATATTTTATATAACATTCTTTGATTTGATGAAGGTAAACTTAATTGTATTTTGTAGTTGTTAAAAATATCTGATTGAAATTAATAAGCAATTTAACAAATAAAATAAAATCAATAAATTACGAATATATTATACATATACTTTGAACTTGAGACTTCCGCTAAGAAGAAGTAGTAGACATAGGTAGGTATAGCTAATTGCCTCATAATTTCAACCATGGAACTTAAGTCTTCAAACTCTGTATCTCAGAAATGGGACTTTTTTATATCAAGTTTTCTCCTTAAAATAGTCTGGGGATTTTAGATTATTTGCTTATATAGATTTGTCTGTAATATTTTACTTGTGGCATAATTGTTTCTTCTCTGTTTAGTCGGATATTTTGTTACCTGTGAAATAAGTTAGGTAACCCTCGCTTCAAAAAGATCAGTCAATGGTTTCATTGATTTATTTTTATTTAATCAATATTCCTAAAACTATAAATATGCAGATAAAAAGAAATATGCATAACTATATCACTTCCCCTGAAGACAGTTTATGTTTCGAAAATTTCTCTATTTCATTCTCAAAACATTTATGTTTAAAAAAATTTGTATTCCATATTTTGTTTATTTACCTTAAAGTGAAGTGATATAATGATGAGTATTTTTATTGGCTTTTCAGTGTGTAATTTTTAGTTAGACACAAACTGATTCTTTTGACTAAAGACTGCATTTCAATACAATTTGTAGATATTTTGTGACGCTACAACTAAAAATATAGTATTTTATTATGTAAACGAATAAAGCAAGAACACTTTCTTATGACATACTGCATGTCTAAATTATATTTTGATTGATTGCCTTGAAATTTACAAAAAAAAACAATTGCAACAGGTTTATTTTATTTTAAAAATAAACTTGTTTCATTTTTATGTATTTCATTAGAATTTGCAAAATCTGATTATTCAATATTTATAGAGTGTGATAACAACGCTGCGAGAAAGTATAATTTTTTTCTAAAACGATAAGACAGACCTAAGTGTAAGAGCTCTACGATCCTTCAAATATTATTGACGATATAGGCATTTTTAGTACAGAGTAGTAAAAAGAATATTCTATGATTTGGATGTGTTTCTAATAAAGACTTTTGTGTATCCTGAATTTTTGTTCTTAGAATTCGTCGTTCAAGGTTAAAGATCCAAAAGCATGTAATGTTACGAGGATTGCTACTAACGGAACAGTAGATGAAAATCAAAATATCTTCATAGTCGTTAATCATAAACAAAATTTATTTGGATAGGTTAAATATTTTCATAATTACGTAGTTCTAATTCTTAAAATACAAAACAATTGACTTTTATATACTTACCTGGTGGGACATTTTGGTGATGTATTGGGATCTTGGAAACTATAAAAGATGGACAGTCAAAAAGAGAAAATGTTAGATCTTACTGTCATCAAAATGATTCATCCGGTATGTGATCTGTCGTTGTAGTGTCCTACATTGCCACGGTTTTTAAATTTTACAAAACAAAAACGGCAGAGCCAAGTTTTCTCTACAAATTAAATCATTCACAATCACATTAGTTAACTATTTTTGATAGTAGATACCCATGAATCCCTAACCAAGAAGCTAATATCCCCGGGTATAAGGTAAGTGCAGTGTATCAAATTATAAGTTCTTGAGTAATTGATTAAAAACTCGCTTCGCTTTCAATCTTTGAAGGATTATAGAGTTTTGGGAATTGTTTCAGGAAAAAATATTACTTCACTTCTTTTGTTTGTTGTAACGATAGGAAGGAACGTTTAAAGGACCTCAAGGTCTTTTGAAAATGTGGGCTTCGTCAAATTGGCTGAAATTGTGGTAAGTTGTTGGTTTTGTGTTACTGACCAAGTGTTGGATCCGAAAATTAATTATTTCCTAATTATAGCGGTCTGAGTCAGTTGTGCTGATTATAGCTGCAAAGTAGTATGACTTTTGGTCAGTAACACAAAACCAACTTACCAAAATTTCAGCCAATTTGACCGAACCCATAATTTCATATTGACCGCGCGGGGTCCTCTTGTTATAGCATTGTTATTCATTTTATTGTCTAACGTAGGTAGTTTAAAAGATATATCAGAGAAGTTTTATGTTTAATGCCTTATTCCGTATCTTGAGGAAAATTGGTTTCAGTACTCAGTCAGTTTATGCAATAAACACTAAGCCGCCATGCGTGTAAGTGCACCGGCGACTAAATTGCAGATAATTGCGCAAGGGCTTGTTTCCTAATACGACGAACTACACAGCTTTCTATTTACAAACTAGTCGATCCACGCACTGCGGAATACTTCACAGAAGGTAGGGAGTGTGTCAATTGCGGCGCGATTGACACCCCGCTGTGGAGAAGAGACGGCACTGGCCACTATCTGTGCAACGCGTGCGGCCTCTACCACAAGATGAACGGCATGAATCGGCCTCTTGTCAAGCAGCCTCGTAGATTGGTACCTTTTTCAAATTTCTTTTTTAATTGTCTGATTTGTATTAATGTTGTGTGACCGAACGATTTTGTTTGTCTTTCATCCTTGGAACAGAAGAAATAAAATTGACACCGGTTTTATTCATTTGATCGGGTGGTTTGCAGGTTTGAAATTTAAAAAAATTAATCTGTTAGTTTTATTTTTGATGAATGCGTAGATAGAGATTCATAACAGCAATCAAAATATTTGGAAATGGGAGAAAAAAAGTATTTTTGAGTTCAAATAGGTATACTTTGGCGAGATAGATCAAGCTAAGAAAACCAATGTTTTAATTTCTGAAAGACAGATTTAATTCACATGATTATTTGTTTATGGACATAATTCAAAGTTTCAAAACAAATACTAGGATTCACTAGGATACGACCATATAATCAAAAATTTTACAATTTAAAACCCATTTTTTAAATGGCTGTTGGAGCAATGTATAGAACAATTTATGTATATTTTACCATTTTTATAACTAGCTACAAAAATGATCATAATCATAAAAAATGATTTCTTACAAATTTATATTTTGAAAGTATTGTTTGTTATCCGGGTTATTACTTCTGTAAGAACGATAATGGTAAATACCAAAATTGTAGATACTTTTTTGGACTTTTAATAATGATAATAAAAACAACACTATCAACTTGTAAAAAATATCTAAGAGAACGCTTTTTCGGTATTATAATTATATAAAATTTGGATCTATGATAAGGCTTTGCACTCCAATGATGTTTCTCTCTTTGTTCCAATGTAATTGATTCAACACTGTTTTCTTACAAGAAAAATATATAGAAAACAAATAAATGAAATTGTTGTCATATCAATAATAAAATAATCTTCAGTTTGGTGATAACTTCAGTTGGTAATATAATAGTACCTTTATTCGATTAATACGTTTTTATATGTGTTTTAGTTGAGTTGAGTTGTTGAGTTTGTTGTTGTTGAGTTGAGTTGTTGTTTGTTGTTGTTGAGTATGGATAGTGGAAAATAATTAGTTCCAATAATACGTTTCTGAAAAACATGCCTCAATAATTTGATTTACATTTTGAATTTGATGTAATCCTGAGAAATCGTTCTAACAGAATATACAAAAATATACAGCGAAGTTTGGGTCATATACTACATTTAATGCTAAAGAGTAAAAATAGGAATTTTTGTATTTAACACTTTTCATTACAGAAGTACCTAATAATTGAGATAATCCCCAGTCAAAATATAATAATTATTTTATATATTTACTTGTATAAGGCACTGCTCGTGTGAAGATTACTCATCCAAATAAAACAAAGAGTTCCCGTCAACAAGTACCCGTTGTTCGTCTCTCGTTAGTTATTTATTTCCATTGTCTTTTTTTGGAAGCGATTTTAGCATTTTAAGTGAAATGTAGGTTCTGAAAACTACTTGAAATAAGATATTTTCACATTATACGCCTCACCACCATATTGGCTTATTCTGACATAATTTGTAAAAAAATATATACCTAATCCATAGAATTTTTTGCTTTTTGAATGCACAATTTCATACTTAAAGGTTTAAAATAAATGGTAGTTTCTGATATTGTTTCTATTCGACTTCGTTTCTTGGTATCTGCCCAAAGAACACACTGATGTAAATAAAGCATATATAAAAAAATTACATTTTTGTTTTTAAAATTTTATAAACTTTTTCAATGTCAATTACCTATAAACGGTATTTTTCACAATAAATTATGTAAATTATGGATACACGTATTTACATAAATTAAATATATAAGGTTTAATTATAAAACAAAGTTTCAATAAGTATATCGACTAAGTTAATATAATAAAAGCTGTTCTATATTGTAAAGGTACCTTAAATTATTTTTTACTCTCATCATCTTGGTGCTTATGTAGACGATATAGCAACCACAGGTTATATTAATTTAATATTATTTTACTAAATAACCTTTTGTGATATTTTTCTAAGCATTTTTCCAATAAACGATAGAACACATTTAAAGTATAGTTCAGACAAATATTAGATGTATTTTTATAATGAGTACATTTTAGACGATGTCAGTACATTAAAAAAAATTTCATAGACGATGATTTAACTTCATTTATGTTTCTTGGGTGTATACACAAAATTAATTATAATGCGTTCATTTGTAAATTATTTATAAGTGTAGATTAATGTGTAAACGATCACGGGAATATTTTTCTATTACTACCATCAGTTTCATTATAAGCATTCAACTTTCGAGACTCATTTTTACACAAGTTAAAGGCGTTTCCTGACTATAAAGTATTTGAATCCTTTATGTTACGTAACTATCATGTAGTATGTAGTTAAATTGTATCATTAAAAAGGAAAGAGTTAGTGGTATACATTTCGTTTTTACAAGTTTATTTCAGTGTCAGTCCATTTGCGCGCCATTGGTCAAATTGTTCATATCTTTGAATGCTAAAAGGCGTATTTAATGTATTAAATATTTTTCACAGCACAAATTTCTTGATAGGGTCGTTTCAGGAACATTAAAAAAACGATCCAAAAAATTAAGACAGCGATTTCAGAAACGAATTAAGAACAACCCCTGTAGTCTTATTTTTGGATAAGGAATCTTCACAAGAGAGATTGGTGTACTTACGCAAATATATAGTCTTGCCCAGAAAATTTTTAATATTTATGTTGGTATATCAATTTGCAGAATTATCAACACATTAAAATTTTGAACCTTTGAAGTTTTGTGTGTGGTCGAAATAAAAATGTTAATACCAGAAGTTATAAAAAAGACTCACATAAAGTGTAATTTTCAAAAAAAAAAAAATAGTGATGAAGACCACAGGCACTCATTTAAAAAAAATATTGTTGTGAAAATTCATACAGTTGTATCAAACTATGAAAATGAAAAAATATATGAAATTAATTACAATTTGCAGATTTTGTCACATTTTTAAACAATATTGTAGCAAAGTTTTATTTTACTTGTATCAAAAACTATATATGATATACATTTGTGTATAAATTTTTAATGCAATATTTTTCCGTGTTATTATGAATAAAAAACAAAAAGTTATTCAATGAATAATTAAATTATCTCTTAAAATAGAAATGTGATCTTACGAGAAGATTTGTTTGATATATTTATAAAAATAAGACTTAAATTCTATATTTGAACAAAATTGACCAGTCCTGCAAACCGTCAATATTTCTTTTTAAAATTTAATGTAATTCCCTATCGTTCGGTCAAAAATACATTAAACTGAAACAACACCCCCGATGTGCGAGGCAAAGCTGCTACCAAACAATCGACATTTTGAGCCGGTTCTTTCTTGTTAACGAAATGTCAGTTCTTTAGTCTAACCCCCTGTTTTGCGTTCCAGTGGCGGCAGAGCCAGGCCACGGGGGTGTCCCTGAATTCTACAAGAACTACTATGCTGGGTATAATGGGGCTACGCGCACCCCCATGCACACCACTGAAGAAAAGTCAAATCGCCGTTTGGTAGGTTCATTTGAACATATTTTAAATCCTCTATCTCTTTCTGTCTTCCTCTATTTCATTTATAGTTCATTTTGCTTAAACCTGTTAGAAAGCAAAAGGATTTCTCCTTGAAGATGTTTACCATGCAAATATCCATTAGTCAAAACTAAAAAAAATATGTCAATTTGAGACGCCATTTTTACTTCTAACTAATATCTATATTTTAGACACTAGAATGTAAACTTTGGTAAGCATCTTGAATAGTTAATAGAGAATAAAACAACGAAAATGCTTGTGTAGCTCCAGCTTAGGTATTGTAGTGCTGTTATTTATTTCACATGTGGTGGCCCCATAATACCCCGCCCATGGGCAAACTAACCTAAAATTCCCTATTACAATTTTGTAGCGTCAGTTACAAATATTATTTTGTCAACAAAAGGTACAAAAATGGATAATATTTGTAACAAAATGTATTACAAAATTTTATTGGGCCACTAAAATTATCTGGTGTGAATCAAAATAGATTATAAATTTGTGATCCAATTTAAACATACCTATACTTCGAAATTGGTTGATTAAAAGATTGCGAGTAAATTTAGAAGGTATAAAACAATGATCAAAAGCACAAAAATACTTACCTATTATTATCATTATGTACAGAATTTTTAAAATTTGAGATTTACAGTCTATCACTTCCAATGAATGGGTAGAAACAGCGTTAAAATTTGCAGAGTAGTTAAATTACTCAATGGGAAAGTGAAATTTGAGCTGCTGTGTGACATATTGGCACATACATAATTATAACTCCTCAGTCTTCAGTGTGGTGTACATTGGATCACAAATTAATGTGTCACAAATTTAGATAAGTGCATTTGAATCACTCCAGATAACTTTTTAAAATGTTTATTATAGTTTAAGGCTTGCACTTCTTGTATAAGGTGGATCAAATTCGATGAGATTTCAAGATATAGTAGAAACTAGTAAATGTTATTAAAAAAAGACATACGTCCTCGAATTCAATTTTTATGGCAAGTTCTATTTTCAAATTAGATATTTCGTAACTACATTTATTTTCTAGTTACAGGGCGTTAATAATTTTTGAGACGTTTTCGCCAACTTATGTAAGTACCTATCTCTGCTGGCGTTAACTGGATTTTTAAATTTTTCTCAAAATCTGTAGAATATAAGCAAACGAAATTTAGAGTAGTTATAGTACTTACAAGATCATATTTTGCTGGTATAATTACTTTTTTTCTGGATTGCTCTAAGGGAGTGAGGTAAACCATCCTTTCTGTTTTTTTACGTTTTTTTTATTCTTTTAGATTTCTTAAGCAAAATAATATTTTAATATTTTGTTTATTTAGAAACTATTTTATTCTTAGTTTTTGAGAAAAAATATTTTTTTAGGAGAGTGTACACTTTTATTTCTTGAAAAAAGTGAATGGATTCTTCAAAATGGCGGCTATTGTGAATAACTTTTGTAAAGTTAGTATCAATGCTACTAGAATTATTTTAAATTATGAACCCTACTTGACTGAAATCTAGAGAGAGATCGTTTTTTCTGGTTTTCAATGCTATACAATTTCTCATGGCAATTTTAACAAAAATTAATGTAGGTATACGAAAGTGTAAAATGTTTTCTTTTTCAATTTGTAATAAACTACATAGTTTGTTAAATAAGACGAGTGACTTTCTGCTTTAATTGCTGTCAACTCAATGTCAATTCTTAGTTTTTGATGGCAAGTTGGTTGTAATAATTTTTCGCAGTTGAACATAAAAAAGGAAGAAAAATATTCCTTCCTTTTTTGATTTAATAAATTGAAACCATTTGCCACAAAATTTAACACATGAATATAAATTTTACTTGTAACAGACATTATAGGTATAAAAGTTGAGAAAATCGAAGTAGGTCAATTGCTTCCAGATTTAGAATACGGAAATAAATTGTAATTCTGAGCAAATTTAAGAAAATGTTTGATGTATTGTACGGAAAAGGTACTTTAGCAGCACAGAAAAAAATGTTCCTGACAAGACCTAATTAATTAATTATAAATAAAAAATTAAAAAATATTTTTTAACCAAGCAGAATCGTTAACCAAAATGTAAAACTCCGCACAAAAATTGTGGGTTACTAACACCAATGGTTAAGACGATATATGAACATCCTGTGTATATTAAATGTTGAAAAAATGTGAACTATTTATGTTCTTAACCTACGTGGTGTATTATTGAATTTTAAATATAAAATTAACCATTAAATTTATAATAATTTCTTAATATAGTATCTGTATACGTTGGCCTTCGTAAAACGTTCGAATGAAAGCAGATTTTTTTTGATAAGCGGAATTTTTTCATAAAATTGAAATTAAAATAGCTTTCTTCCTTTTCAACACTATTAGATGCACTATTTACCAAAATTGTTAAAATCATTATAACTAGGTATTACATGTTACTGGAAAGCAGAAAATATTGTCTCTCTTTCTAGACCATAGTCATCAATGGAAGTTTACTGATTCATAAATAACTCCGTAGCCATGAAATTTATTAAAAAAAACCTAAAATTTAAAATCGATTCTACGCCGAAAAGTTTAGTTAGTTTAGTTTAGTTTAAAAAATTAAGGTGTCCAATGCAATCAAGTAGATTTTTTTTGTGTTACCAGTTTTTTTGTATGTTTCGTTGTTCTCGAAATACTGAAATTTCATCGAATTTAACTTACTTTGTACATATGCATTGAAACTAATTTTTTTTGTATTATCAGTCTGCATCCCGTCGTGCTGGACTTACCTGCACTAATTGCCACACAAGTACAACCTCCTTGTGGAGGAGAAATTCCTTAGGAGAGCCCGTTTGCAATGCATGTGGCCTTTACTTTAAGTTACATTCCGTAAACAGGCCTCTATCAATGAAAAAGGATAGCATACAGGTAAGCTTTGTATGGTTTTCAAGAAGTCATTATCGAACAGAATTTTATATATACCTACCTATTAATCACAACATAGAAATGTACATGTTATATATATATTGTAGACAAGGAAGAGAAAACCAAAGGGAAGTAAAGAAAGGAACTCTGATGGTGGCACTCAAATACGAAACATTCAAAATGCTGCGATGACTGCTATAAAAATGGAGGAAGTAAAGCTAGAACATACAATAGGTTAGTATTTTAATTTTTCATGTGTGACAATGATATAGACGACTTTTTTGGTTGGTTCACTTGTTAAAGAAACCGTTTTTATATGTTTAATTTAAAACTTTGAGATCGTGTAGAAGAAAACAATATACATATATAGTTTTGGTTCAAATTTCACACTTAAGGGTGTTGTGGGGTCCTGGATCAGATTTTAAATAAAAAAATCGCGCAAGTGTTTATATTATACTTCGAGGATATAAAGAAAATCATAGCAGGCCTTGGATCAGCATCTTACAAACCATGGACGGATCACAAAAAGCGGTTTAAAAATAAAAAAACATTTTGTTGAATTATCTTGAAGAAAAAAGTTTGTACGGATTTGTACATACACAAATAAAAGTAGACACTGTATAACGTGGAAAACTTCTTGAACTTTATGTTTAGTAGTATAATGTATACTACAGGGATGGCCAGAAGTACGGAATAAAATTCATATCTTTTGAATGAGTAAATTTTTTTTTTAAAACGCCTAAACACGTTAACTGATTTTGATTTTTTCCCATCTTTCGGTTATATAATAATTTTTCTTCAACCCCCTAACCCCCAGCCACCCCTACTGTTTTTTTTTTCAAATGAAAACATAAGGTATGAGAGGGCTCGTTGAAAAGCTTATAGAAAACCCAATCCAGCCATACCAAATAAACAAGTTTTAATTTTTCAATAGCAAGGTTTTTAGGGTTGTATAAAACACCTACTTAACAAGTGAAATAAAATTTAATTATCTTCAGTGTTATCCTCCATGAATTTGCACAGAATAAAATAAAGAATTTGAAACTGTACCTATCACTGCTAACGCAAAAAAGATATATTTTTTATGTTGCGTTTTTTTGGCACCACTTACTTGCCAGGCTTTCTGGTTAATTTTTCGCTTTAGTTGTAAATTGGAGTTCGAAACGTTACTATTGTGTCAAAATCAAGTTATTTACTGAATTGCAATGGTATTGTCGGAAAGGCAACGCATCGAAATCTTGATATTGCTTGGATGTGGAGACAAAATAAGAAGTCAGGCTGAAGTGCGCGATTTATTTAATGCGAAATATCCCGAAAACCAAATCTCGCAAGGGACAGTTAGTAAAATATTTCACAAATTTGAGGAACACGGTACAGTACAGACTTTGCCCAAAACTGGACGGGCACGTGCTTTGAATGAAGAAAAGAAATTAGACATTGCATTAGAACTTGTTGAAAATCCTCATACTTCAACTGTTTCATTGGCCCGCAATCACGATGCTTCTCGAACTGCAATTCGAATGTTTCTGAAACAAGAGAAATACCACCCCTATAAGGTATGTCTTGTCCAAGAGCTTTTGGAAGACGATTATGATAGGCGATTACAATTTTGTGAGGAAATGATGAGACGGTGTGACGACAATAATGGTTTTCAACGAGACGTACTTTTTTCGGATGAAGCTACGTTTTATTTAAATGGAGTGGTTAACAGGCACAACTATCGCTTTTGGTCCCAGGAAAATCCACACTGGACATGCGAATCGCATACGCAGCATCCACAAAAAGTTAATGTATGGGCAGGTATCATCAACAACAGAATCTTGGGCCCATTCTTTTTTGAAGAAAATCTTACTGCCGCACGCTACCTGGATTTCCTAACATTTGACCTGATACCTGCTCTAGCTGTGATTTTCCCTCATGAAATTGATCCAGATATACCGAATGAAAGAATTTGGTTCCAACAAGATGGCGCTCCCCCACATTTTGGTATTGATGTTCGAAGATACTTAGATGAAATGTTTCCAAATCGCTGGATTGGTAGACGGGGTACAGTTGAATGGCCGCCAAGATCCCCCGACTTAACACCCCTGGATTATTTTCTTTGGGGATATTTGAAAGAAAGAGTCTACCAGGACAGACCGGATAATATTGAGAATTTAAAGAACAAGATTAGGGCGGAGATGCATAATTTACCAGCTGAAGTCATTCAGAATGCTGTGGACAGCTTTTACTATCGTCTTGGAGAATGCCAAATAGTGAATGGAGGACATTTTCAGCATTTGCGACATTGAGTTTATTTTTGTAAATTATCTAGTTGTTTCAATTTCTAAATGAAAAAAAAATTGTTATTGAAAAAATAAAACTTGTTTATTTGGTATGGCTGGAATCGGTTTTCTATAAGCTTTTCAACGAGCCCCCTCATGCCTTATGTTTCCATTTGAAAAAAAGTAGGAGTAGCAGGGGGTTAGGGAGTTGAAGAACAATTAATTATTATATAACCGAAAGATGGGAAAAAATCAAAATCAGTTAACGTGTTTCGGTGTTTTAAAAAAAATTAACTCATTCAAAAGATATGAATTTAATTCCGTACTTCTGGCCATCCCTGTATATTCATGTTCTTGGGTATCGGGTTCTGATGTGATAGCAGGTTAAAAAAAGATGAGATAAAGAGCAGCGATTTTTTTCTTAACGTTTTGTTCCCGATCAGGAACTTTTTCAAAAGACTTTTATTATTAAAATTATTATATAAAGTTAACTAATTATAACCCAAACAACTATTTCATGTAATTTTTTCTTTAACATCCAAACTTATACTTAGTACACTTTTTTAAATTGAATTATTTATATGTACAATGCAACCATAAAAAATCCGGAAAAGACAATGCCAGTTTTATTTTCTATATCAAGCTGTGCTCCTTCCTATTCGTCAGATACTTCTAATAAATTTCTGATCATGAATTATTTGTTTCGACTATAATTACATTGAACAGGGTTATTCTCATAAGGTTCTACTCCTTTAAATTTTTTACCTCTATATCTGGAAAAAATTGTAAAGTCAAGGTTTTAGGAAATTTCGCAAAAATACACGAAACGTTTGTTTTTTTTCTGTATATTTGTAACTTTTGCAGTCCTCTCCTTTTTCTAATGATAGTTTTAAATACCTACCATCTTATTTGGTTTATCAGTAGGTATACACAATATTTTGGTTTATTTGCTGGCCCTCACTGGGATAAAGTCAAAATCTAGGGCATATTTATGCTTTTACGCTATTAAATTTACTAGATAGATCTTCAAATATTAAGAAAAATATAATGTATTATAAAACGCCTTTTTGAAATAACCAATAACCCCACTGTTTTTTAAAAAGGGACATTTTCTTAAATAATTTTTTCTATGAAGGGATTATTGTATGATCCGCAAGTACTATTAATTTGGCCTATATGAAAGTTAAAGTATACAAAGAAAGATCTAATAAATTATAGAACATAAGAGAGAAAATATTGAACTATCAATGAAGTGGGTAATAGGGCAATCCAAAAAGACTTATTGGATTATATGATCTTTGTATAGAACAGGATGAAGATGTTTTGCTTGTTTAAAAAAAATGTTTTTTTTTATAGAATTTAAATTAAAGATTTACTTAGTAAATTTAACTATACCCAAGCAAAACAATGGTTCCATGGCAATCCTAACTATTACTGTGCAAGATAAAAAAATAAACCAAAATATAGTTTGTACAACTGTCAAAATAAGCGATACGCATATATCATTATAGCCAGAAAAAAAGACGAAACTAAGGAATGACGCATATACAGGGAATTTAATTTAAAAATTAACAGAAGTTTGATTTATATCTTCGAAACTCGAGTCAATTTAGAAATATTGGAATTGAAACTTGAACACCCTGTAGATTAGAAACTATAAGCATTTCCTGACCCATATTTACAGGACCTCTATTTCTTACTTTGAGGAGTTAACAAAGATATCCTCCTAAATTTTGTTCCAGAGAAATATTTCATATTGCAGAAGATTTTTACATGTAAGCAAATTGATCAAAATCATTAAAAAAATTTATTAGGTACATCATCGATTACCTTTCTTTAGTATGATACAATTTAGCAAAAATCTAGGTAAAAAAATTGCAGAAATTCAAACGATATGTTTAGCGACTTTTAAGGTAAAAATGACCTTAATCCTATTCGCTCATAATAAATAATCTTCTAAGTTTCTAGACTCCTACAGTAAACCTACTGCAATAAACTTCACTGCAGTGTCTTAAAAGAAAAGAGTGTTATACGATATCTATTGAAAGTCCATCCAAAAAAGTTACCCTTGATCTTGAAGTATGGCCCATTAGTTTTCAGACACCCTATATATACATATTTTATTAATTTTAGATGATTTTTTCCAGACAACTACAACGAACTTAGATCAGTGACTGGTCTAAATCATCTACCACATGCTTCAACAACCAATTATGTGTTCAACAACCAGGCCCATCAACGGCTTAGTCCTTACTCATCACAGTCTCCTCAACTTACTACTGCTCAATACTATGACTCCATTCTTCAACACTCCAGTCCAAGCCCTCCCTCTACCAATTCAGAGAGTCCTTCGTCTCCCCATATTATCAACAATAATAACAACACAAAAGTTATTATTAACGGAGAACATGGTTTAGATAGACCAACTGTCGTTTCTTTATCCTCGTAACTTTTTTGTATATAAATTTATACATATCTTTACCTATTTCTTTTTTGTACATAATTTTTGCAATAATATATTTTGCTTAGGGTTACTTTTAGTTTATAAATATTAGATAAAGATCCATAGTTTATTTTTTACTTTTATTGTAAATATTTATTCGAAAGTTATATTATTACAATATATTTTTTTTACCAGACTTATAATGTGCACAAAGCTCAGTTATAGTGGTTAGTCGTAAATGAAGAGAACAGTTTATATTGTTCATCCACATTTGAGAGTTTGTCGATGATGAATATTTTGACATATGACAATATGTAATTAAGTACAAACTTATTTTTAAAGTATATAAAGAAGCATATTTAATTTAAGTTGTACATTTACCAAAGATATACAAATAGTAGGTATTAAAATACCTATATCAAAAACCTTTCTGTAAATATGTTAATTTTAAATTTATGACATTATTTCTTGACTGATTTGGATTTCTATAACCTAATCGTAGATTAGGCGATTGGGCAGAGTGTCAAGTCTAATCATTTAGAATGCTTAGTTTTGTTGAAAATGCATTTTGTTGCAGTGAGCATATTTTATAGTTTGTTATTTATCATAATCACTCAACATTAATGCATTCCTTAGTATAAATTTATTATGTACAGATATATTTTTTACGATTTTAAGAATTATAATTGTTAATTATTGATATTTTCATTTGTATAACGTTTATATATTATTTCCTAATAAAAATAATATAAATGTGATTTGTAAGTCTATTATTTGTTCATTCTCTATAAAATTAAAATTAAAATAGCATTATTATCAAAGAATTTTAGATAAAATCCGATTATTTTACCTTCATTTTCTGAACAATATTATGGCGATGTGAAGTCCTTTCATTTAATTTTATTTATTCCAAACTGGTGCGATGTTTCATAAGAATCTGTCGCTCATAAAACTGTCATGGTTTTTCAACTTCCATCTGTGAACGGTGCACTTTGAAAAAAGTTCAAGGAATATAAAAGTTTTGTTTGGAAGTGGTACACCCAATACTAATTATTCTGATAATATTTTCTTGGAAGTCCATTCGCATTTTCAGTGAAGTATCTTGGACTGACACTGCATACAAGACTTAACTGGATTGCGTTTTTTGCAAAATATGTATAATAGATTCGGAGAGATGACTGCTATATACGATTCGATACACTGAATTTGGTATACTGGCAGCAATATGGTGACTAATTTTGTTTTATATTCTAAAAGAATTATATACAGAAGCTTCATAAATATTTACAAACCACGTGAATGCCGAACTTAGGCAATCAACATTGCAGAGCTGGTAACGAAAAATCCCTAAAACTTGGCGTCACTAATATTAATGATTCGTTTACAAGGAACAATGATAAACCGTTCCATCCAGAAATTTATATTCATATGTTGGTAGTTTTGACGACTGTATAACTTATTGTAAGTAATAGTTACGGTTACTTGTATTCTTAATTTGGTTCCCGTTCTTTTTTATTTGGATTCTTGCAATGGAATATTTTATTTGTATTGCTGCATTTGACTTTTATAATAGACATTGAAAAGGTGTAAAAATCACGCTGGCGTTGGTTTTTACGAGTATATACAGGGTGTCTCACGGTGACGGCACATTAGAATTATTTCAGAGACTACTTCGATCTGAATTTTGGAAATTTGGGGTACCAGGTTTTCGGGCATGCCCTTCTCAACTAAAATAATGGCATCCACGTATCACTTCCGGTTATACCGGAAGTCGCCATCAACTTGCTTATTTTAAACGGAACACCCTATATATTATTGAAATTTTGGATTCCACGTGTTATTTTAGGTCGACTTTTATGAAGTTTCCCTATTCCTAAAATTAACCGTTTTCGAGATATTTAGATTTTTTCAAAAAAATGGAGAAACAGTGACTAACTTCAAACCATAATTAATTGCATATAGGGTGCTAGAAATTTAATGCCGAGTTTAGTTAACTTCAAACCGTCATAAGTCCGTTTTTTTAAATGGAACACCCTGTATGTTTTTCTATATTCTGATATTCTGACACAATTTTATTCTCTTTCGAACGGTATCAGGGTTCCCTATACCTATCTCTTCTAGTTTTTAAGTTATCTACCATACCATTTTTTGTGTAATCACCTAAAATCATGTAATTTCTTGCGAGGATAGCTGTGGAATTTTTAGCAAAACTTCAAAACGAACAACTAAACTGTCACCAGTTATTTATTATTATTTATTCACAGACGTTGCAATGGGATTCTAAGCAGAACATTTACAGTTTTTAATGAGACATATCCCAATTCTCCACCAATGTGCAAATCAAGTTAAGAATTCTAAAAAATCTACTTCTTACATGGTAATACACAATTTTAGGTATGTTGATAATAATAATGTACTAAGATAAAAAAATAACTTAAAAAAGTCATAAGTGTTCAATATGACCCCCTTTAACAGCTAAGCACTTATGGATTATAGAGATAATACCATCAGTCACCGCTTTTGCTATTTCAGCTGCAGGCAATTCATGGAACGCTCTTCGTATTCGAGCAATCAAATCCTCTTTTGAAAATACGGGTGTAGAATAAACTTTTTGCTTTATTACTACCCAAACATAAAAATCTAATGGAGTGAGGTCGGGAGACCTCATTGGCCAATTCCACGGTCTTAGGCGTCTCATCCATCTATCTTCAATCATTTCAGTCAGCTGTTGATCGATTTGATTGTGACAGTCAGGTCAGGTCAGGACCCGTCTAACTGATACCAACACTTCCTTAGTTGATCTAAAGGTATATCATCTAGAAAATCTGCCACGATTGTTTGCAAAAATATTGAGATATCTGTCGGCATTTAAATTTTTTTCGTAGATATGCATATGGTAAGAAATTTGGTTATCTTTAATTAGACAAAAAACATTTACGCTAAATTTATTTTGAAAGTTCCTTTCCCGGATAACATGAGGATTTTCAGATGACCACAAATGAGTATTATGTCTATTAAAAATACCTTCTCTCGTTAATTTTGACTCGTCTGTCCATATAATATGTTGCAAAAATTGTGGATCTTCTTGGTATCGCACTAACACGGCGCCACCCGGATGAAGAGTAGAATCTAGCTTAAATTTGTATGGATGCATATCATTAGTTCTTATCATCCAGTGAATGGCGCTCGTGAAATGCCTAAATATCTGCGGCACGAGTTGAGGATTCTGGTTGAACATTAAAATAGGCTAGCACATTTATTAAATCATCTTCATTTGAAGTTATTGGTTTTTGTAAAATTCTTTCTGAACAAATTCGACCATACTCTAGTTGATTTGCTAAAATTATTCTTAACATTTTTCTGCCCATTGGTGGCAAATTTGGATATGTCTCATTAAAAACTGTATATGTTCTGCTTATAATCTCATTGCAACGCCCGTGAATGAATAATAAATTTAAAATATCAGCATTTGAATATGTATTGTTTTCCACTTCTTATAAACACTAAACTGTCGCTGCAAGAGACTAACAACAAATTGACAGTTTAGTTGTTTGTTTTGAAGTTTTGCTAAAAGTTCCACAGCTATCCTCGCAAGAAATTACATGATTTTAGGTTAGGTTACACAAACAATAGTAGATAACTTAAAAACTAGAAGAAATAGGTATAGGGAACCCTGATACCGTTCGAAACAGAATAAAATTGTGTATCAGAATATAGAAAAACATACAGGGTGTTCCATTTAAAAAAACCGACTTATGAAGGTTTGAAGTTAACTAAACTCGGCATTAAATTTCTAGCACCCTGTATGCAATTAAGCCACTTTGAAAGTATTGATGGGAAGCTTAGGGGTCTAGCTATTCCCTCTATAAATATTGTTGCTTTATTTTTCTTGCTATAAAATACACATGGTTTGAAACTAATCACTCTTTTTCTCCACTTAAGAAAAAATAAAATATATCTCGAAAACGGTTAATTTTAGGAATAGAGAAACTTCATAAAAGTAGACCTAAAATAACACGTAGAATCCAAAATTGCAATAATATATAGGATGTTCCATATAAAATAAGCAAGTTGATGGCGAATTCCGGTATAACCGCAAGTGATACGTGGACGCCATAATTTTAGTTGAGAAGAGCATGCCCGAAAACCCGGTATACCAAATTTTCAAAATTCAAATCGAAGTAGTCTCTGAAACAATTCTAATGGGCCGTCACCGTGAGACACGTCACACTGTATAAGGTACACTATATTTTGACCCCCCTTTTTTGTATTTAGAATTATAAAAAAAAGTGACACACAAAAGTTGCACAATTTTTTATGAAATCTTGGAGAATGCTAGTAGAAAATCGTGAAAAAAAGTTAATATTAAGTAGTTAACTTCATCAGCTAGTTTCAATGAAAGTTACCGATCGTTGAATAATATAATAATACGGTTTCCAAGTCGTTTCGACACACATATTTCAACTTCCTCAGAAGAAATTCTGAAACTGCATTTATTGACTGAAATGAAAATATATTCTATCAGTATTAATTTATTGAATCTTTAAATACATATATTGAAGGCACTTGATGTGGTAATAAATTCATTTGATTTTTGAACAGATAGATGAGTGATGATATAAAATGTACAGGGTGTCCCTCTACTTGATACAAAAAAGTCAAATACAAATAGATGAGGTCAAAATAATATCAGTTCCTCATATAAATTTTTATTTATTTTCATACAGGCCTTCATTAACAAGTTACGGGTCCTCAAAAGTAAAAATTAAAAAGTTATTTTTATTTACAGTCTTTAAACCATTAACATCAGCATGATGCAAATTTGGTGATCGATAACACATGCGTATAGCTTGTTCTTGATATTATAAGTGAAACTAGGTAAATAGGTAACAACCTAAAACATTTGCATAGATAAACAAAACAATAATAAGTTAACTTTAAAAATATAATTTAAATGAAAGAAAACTATAAAAATACACTTTCCACCTCCACACACTCCTTAACTCTACGAATGTTATTTGTTTGTACACGAAAAAGCATTTCTGGGGTATGTTTAATATTATCATAATGGAAATTGATTAT